GGCCCTTGCTGGTAACACTAGCGCGTTACTCCTGTCACCTGTGCAAATGGCTCGCCAGATGGCCAGGCCAGCATCTCCATATACAAGACACTTTGACACCTCTGCCAAGAGGGAGTGACTTGCCGGCGCCTTCCCAAGCCTGGGACGAGCTATGCCCAGTACATTAACACATCAAAAGCATTCCGTGACATGACACATGGTCAATAGCAGAGGCTGGAGTGGGATTCCCAACTCCTAGCCAATCAAAACATACCTTGCCTGACAACGCATGGTAACCAGAGATGGGAACGCCTTCCCACTCTCTCACTATTGGGTAAATGGTGGTGGTGATGAAGGGGGGGGGTGTATATCTGCAATGATCCATATGGGAAATGGGAGTTGAGTTGAGTTGAGAAAAGTTAAGTGAGTTTCTCTCTAGAAAACAAAGAGTTCTTTTGGATTGACTATTTGCTGTTAACATGGAGTGAGACTGTTAGGCAGCCAAGCTGGACTAGCTGCCCACAAAACCACGGGGTTCCTTTTCAAGATCCCCTGGTGAGACCTTGGACTATTTCATCTGATACCTCTGAAAGCCTGGTAACTATGACATGCCTCTATTGTGTAGCTAGAGCTGAACAAGCTATAAATATCTGTTGTTTCTTATCTTTTGCTAGTCTCATGTTATATGCATGCTTGTGCACTGAATAAAGATAATATATAATCAATACTATCTGGACCTGTTTTCTCTGTTGCAACCTGATCTCTAAGACTGAATCTTGTGTCTAAGCCGTTCGGTTAAGGAGGCTACCATTGTATTAATTAATTGTTTGCAGCCCTGGTACAGAGCTGGTAACGTGGGTCAGTCCCATAAAGCAAAGAAGGAGTTTGGGATCTCGGCTCCTGAGATTTGTTGCAGGACTGTTTAGAAAAAAGAGAGATCCTGGTGGTAGTGACTACTGGTAAGGCCTGGAGAGTGTACAGACATTCTCCTGGCGTTTGTGTAATTGTTCCTGAACGCTTGGTTTCTCTCCCCATCTTTGGACTGGGGTGAGGGAGAGAAACCTTGACAGAGCTCTGACAGAAACTGCTCTTTTTCAAGAACAGCTCTTATCAGAACTACGGCTTGCCCAAGGTCATCCAGCCAGGTGCAAGTGGAGGAGTGGGGAATCAAACTCGGTTCTCACAGATTAGAGTCCGCGCACTTAACCACTACACCAAACTTGCAAAGAAGGCATGCCTCCACGATCGGTCTTCCCTTCCCCAGCTAGTGTTCCCTTCCCTGGGTAGGGCTGAGGTGAGGGGGGGGGAAGAAAGCAACTTCAACTTTAAATGCGTTCTCAAAGCCCCCTCCCACCAGCCAGCTTGAAGAAGGCACTTGTCTCTTTAAATCCTTTCTTCACGCCAAGCCAAGCCAAGCCAGCCAGCCAGCGTGGGTGTGTGTGTGTTGGAGGACGCTTTTGAAGTTAAAGTTGCTTTCTTTCCACCTCCCCTTCCTTCCCTCCCCCCATCTACTGGCTTTCTTTCCACTTTCTTTCCCTCTCCCTCCCTCCCTCCCTCCCTGTCTAAAGTTAAATGTGTTCTCCAAGCCCTGCCCCACCACCCCACTGGCTGGCTGGCTTGGCTTGGAGAAGGCATTTGTCTCTTTAAATCCCTTCTCCAAACCAAGCTGGCTGGCGTGGGGGTGGGTGTGTTTGGAGAACACATTTAAAGTTAAAGTTGCTTTAGATGTTGTAGATTTTCCGGGCTGTATGGCTGTGGTCTTGACATTGTAGTACCTGACGTTTCGCCAGCAGCTGTGACTGGAATTCTCAGATGTATAACACAGAAAGATGGAGTACTCTCTGTGTCAAGGTGAGAAGAAAAATGGTAGGCAGGTAATTTATATTTACTCAGGAAGGTGGGATAACGCTGAGTCATCTCGTAGGAGTTCCCCAGGCTGTGACGTGCTAATGGAGGAGCTTTACCGAAGAGGTTCTTTTGCATATGGATTGGCTGTTGAAATTCTAATTTTATGTGTAGTGCTATTGTAAGATGTAGAACATTTTGTGTTTTTCAGGACAGGAAACCATGCTCTATTTATTTTTAAACTCTCTTCTTTCCTGTTGAAATTGTGTTAATGTTTATGAATTTCAATGGCTTCCCTATGTAATCTGAAATAGTAATTGGATGTGTTGTCCAGCCTTTCAGTGTCTTGGAATAAAATAGAATCATAGAATGTTAGAGTTGAAAGGGACTTTGCAGGTCATCTAGTCCAACCCCCTGCACTCTGCAGGAGCATAGCCAAAACATAGCCCTACAACATACCCGAAAGATGGTCGTCCAGCCTCTGCTTGAAAATGTCCAGTGAAGGAGCATCCACCACCTCCAGAGGCAGACCAGATATTGTTTTCTTATATGCTTTTGCAATTGCTACAAGTATGTATAGTAGGCCATAGATGGTAGTCGTACCAATTCTTCAAATTATTCTGGTGTCAAAGATTCCATATCTTGTTACCTAGACCTGATCGGATTGTACTTGATAGTTGTTTATACTTCCGTTCATTTTAATAAACCTTTAACTACTTTTATATAGTCTGGCTTATTGTGTACCCAACCCACCTAAAGGAACTCACAGGTGTTCCTTAAATGGAAGCAAGGAGCAAAAACCCTGTAGGAACCCTGGCTGGATATAAATACCATCTACGCGCTACTTTGTAAATGTTTTCTTTATACACCGTAGATGGCCATGAAATTTAATCCACCATTTGACATTTCAGATTCTTCTAACTTCACCCTGGAAAATTATGGCTTTCTTCATTTTGCAAGAGGTAGGGGTCTTGTTTGTACAGGGGAGGGTAGGTCTAGAAATCTAATTTATAAATAAATGAGGCATCAATCAGTCTCACTACCTTGATGAATGGTCTATGAACAGAAGGAGGAGATTGATATCCCACCCTTCACTCGAAGTCACAGAGTGGTTTACAATCTCCTTTCCCTTCCACTCCCCACAACAGACACCCTGTGAGGTAGGTGGGGCTGAGAGAGCTCTTTTTCAAGAACAGCTCTTATCAGAACTACGGCTTGCCCAAGGTCATCCAGCAGCTGCAAGTGGAGGAGTGGGGAATCAAACCTGGTTCTCCCAGATTAGAGTCTGCACACTTAACCACTATACCAAACTGGCTCTTGGTGATTGGATTTATACCCCGCCCTTCACTACCCAAAGGTGTCTCAGAGCGGCTTTCCCTTCCCCTCCCCTCCCCACAAGAGACACCCTGTGAGGTGGGTGGGGCTGAGAGAGCTCTGACAGAAACGGCTCTTTTTCAAGAACAGCTCTTATCAGAACTATGGCTTGCCCAAGGTCATCCAGCCAGGTGCAAGTGGAGGGGGAGTGGTGAATCAAACCTGGTTCTTCCAGATTAGAGTCCGTGCACTTAACCACTTCACCAAACTGCTGTCAAGAGTGCAGTACAAATGTGTAAGGTTTTGCTTGAAAGGGTTTGCCACATGAGCTGAGAAAAAGGAAGGGAATGGACAGGAAGGAGGGAAACGGGCACAAGTGATGACCCTCAGGGCAGCTACCACAGTACAGGTCAGAGCTAATGTCAGGGCTGACCCTGCCTCAGTGCAGAAACACAGCCAAGCTGTACCAGGGTGCGGTCTCATGAACCCCCCAAGTAACACAAACAATAAAGCAAAAAAAGAAGAAAAGGGCTTTATTGAATACACTCAGCAAAAGGTATAAAAAAAGGCATATTAATCAGTGACAGTAAAATGGAGAAAAATAACAAAGCTAAAACTAGCTACCTTTCATGGGACGGTCTTAACACCGTGCAGTTGACGTCTTGAAGGAAAGAGTCCTAGAGCAAAATACAGGCACCTTCTGGGAAGCAACAAGGTGCGGGGAGAAACAGTAAAGGAAAGGGGCAACTCTTCTCATTAACATGTTGTCGAAGGCTTTCATGGCTGGAGTTCATTCGCTGTTGTAGACTTTCCGGGTTGTCTGGCCGTGGTCTTGGCATTGTAGGACCCGATGTTTCGCCAGCAGCTGTGACTGGCATCTTCAGAGGTATAACACAGAAAGATGGAGTACTCTCTGTGTCAAGGTGAGAAGAAAAATGGTAGGCAGGTCATTTATATCTACTAGTTATAATGACTCAGCCCTACCCCCACCTTCCTGAGTAGATGTAAATTACATGCCTACCATTTTTCTTCTCACCTTGACACAGAGCGTATTTCATCTTTCTGTGTTATACCTTTGAAGAAGAAGAAGAAGAGGAGATTGGATTTATACCCCGCCCTTCACTACCCAAAGGAGTCTCAGAGCGGCTTACAAACTCCTTTCCCCTCCCCTCCCCACAACAGACACCCTGTGAGGTAGGTGGGGCTGAGAGAGCTCTTGACAGAAACAGCTCTTTTTCAAGAACAGCTCTTATCAGAACTACGGTTTTGCCCAAGGTCATCCAGCCAGGTGCAAGTGGAGGAGTGGGGAATCAAACCCGGTTCTCCCAGATTAGAGTCCCTGCACTTAAGCACTACACCAAACTGGCTCTACACCAAACTGGCTCTGAGGATGCCAGTCACAGCTGCTGGCAAAACGTCAGGGACTACAATGCCAAGTCCACAGCCATACAGTGCGGAAAATCTACAACAACTAACTTCTCATTAATCTTACTTACTGAAAACTGCAGGTCATAACCCCGTGACCTCCTGAACCAATCACTGGGCAGTATTCATGGAACTTTCCCGGGTGAGCATGAGTTCCCCCTCCCCTCCCAGATTCACAGCTGAACTATGTCAGCTAATTAGAAGGCCTGAATGAATGGCCTTGACACGTATCCGCCACTGAAGAACACCTGCAGAAAGTCAGAGAAAGCCAACACCTGCAGAAAGTCACCTGCAGAAAGTCAGAAAGCCAACACCTGCAGAAAGTCAGAGAACACTGAAGTTAGCTGGAACAGACTGGAAGATTCTTCTAAGATGGATTCTGCCTTGACAGCTACAAACCGGGAAGGGCAGCCACTTCAACTGGTTTTTCTACATGCTAAATGTGATTGGAAGGCTATGCCACTGTATGAAGTTTGTGGTGTAAGATAAGGCTTCAACTGTGACTGAACCTCTTTCCACACTTGGAGAATTCACATGCCTCTGCCCTGCGTCAATCCTCTGATGTGCAGTTAGTTCAGTACTGCAGGGGAAGCTCTTTCCACACTCGAGGAATTTATACGGCATTTCCCCAGTGTAAACTTTTTCATATACCGTTAGGGTGCCATTCTCAGAGAAACACTTTCCACACTCCAAGCACTGATACGGCTTCTCCACTCTGTGAATCTTTTGATGTTTGGTTAGGTCACCATTCCGATAGAAGCACTTTCCACACTCCAGGCATTTGTGGGGCTTCTCCCCTGTGTGAATCCTTTGATGTACAATTAGGGTGCTATTCTGAGAGAAGCACTTTGCACACTCCAGGCATTTGTACGGCTTCTCCCCTGTGTGAATCCTTTGATGTGCAGTTAGGCTGTCAGTCCGAGAGTAGCACTTTCCACACTCCAAGCATTTATATGGCTTCTCCCCTGTGTGAATCTTTTGATGTGCTGTTAGGTGGGTATGCCGATAAAAGCACTTTCCACACTCCAGGCATTTGTGTGGCTTCTCCCCTGTGTGAAGCTTTTGATGTGCAGTTAGGCTGCTATTCTGAGAGAAGCACTTTCCACACTCCAAGCATGTATATGGCTTCTCCCCTGTGTGAATCCTTTGATGCGCAGTTAGGTGGTGATTCCGAGAAAAGCACTTTCCACACTCCAAGCATGGATATGGTTTCTCTCCTGTGTGAACCTTTTTATGTTTAGTTAGATCACTATTCAAAGAGAAGCACTTTCCACACTCCAGGCATTTGTATGGCTTCTCCCCTGTGTGAATCCTTTGATGTGCAGTTAGGTGGTGATTCCGAGTATAGCACTTTCCACACTCCAAGCATGTATATGGTTTTTCCCCTGTGTGGACCTTTTGATGATTAGTTAGATCACCATTCCAAGAGAAGCACTTTCCACACACCAAGCATTCATACGGCTTCTCCCCTGTGTGAATCTCTTGGTGCATAGCTAGTGCACTGCTCCTATGGAAGCTCTTCTCACATTCCAAGCATTTATACTCTTTCAAGCATGTTGTAACGTTCTCATATGTTTTACCACTGAATTGGCAGCTGAGCTCTTTCTGATTCAAAGTGCCATTAGAACTCTTTCTCCTCTCTGTTTCATTTCGGACTGAGACCTCAGGATTATTTCTACCCTGACAAGTAATCAGTTCCTTCCTTTGCTTCTCTTTTGCTGCTTTTCTCCTTCTGTAGTATCCCGCTGATACCACTTGATCCTCAGATTTCGCTTCCACCTGCAGATCGTTGTCTTTTCCCACAAGTCTCCTTCCTGGTTCCTTCTCGCTCAACATTTCCCTCATATCTCCAACTGCAAAAGAGAGATGAATATGAATGAAAAAGTACAGATACTAGTTAACAAAATGAGCAGTGAACAGTACTTTTTATAATGAGAATGTGTGGCCTGGAAAAAGCTTCAGTAATATTAGCTACAACACCAGGGTATCATGGAGAAAAAGAAACAGTGACTCAAGGAAAAGGGAGGGGATTTCTTGCTTCCGTTGCAGGCACTTGCTTTTGAGAGCACATTAAGGTTAATATGTTATCTGGTGTTGATTCAGGGAACACATGGAGTAAGAAATGCCTTAAAATCTTGAGTTTTATTGAAATTTTTGTTGATAATATGAAAGGAATAATATATGGAAACACTTAAATCCAGAGACTGGCGATATGGATAGACAACCATGAAGAGAGGGAAGGAAAAACTAAACCAACCAACCAACCATAAAAATGGATAGACAAGACGGATCTTTCTACAAACCTGGAAAATGACCCAGGTTTGCAAAAAAATCTTTTAAAAGGACACTGGGGAGATGTAACAACCCAAAATACTGGAAGCAGTGCCTGTAACATAAGAAACACCACACAATATTGTCAGCCTTCAAGCCTTGGTCTCTGTCAGGTAGAGGCAGGGGCAGGTGATAGTGCCCTTTAGAGGGTTGCTTTGGGTTTTGAGGGAAGTCTCCCCTGGGCCAGGTCCTGTGGCAATCGGAGTTTGGCCACTTGATACCATACCACTTGCACAACTCACCCAGGACTGGCTACTTGCTACTTCTCAACACAGCCATACTGCAAAAGCCAGTGTGGTTTAGTGGTTAGAGTTTCAGAACATATCCTGGGAGACTCAGATTCAAATACTCATTCTGCTCTGGAAGCAAACTGGGTGACTTTGGGCCAAGAACACACACAAATGCTAACCTTCCTCAATCACTTGAAATTCCCTAAAATCCAGGGATTCCCACACATCCCTTTCAGGGGCAGGGGAGGGATCCCAGCCTCCAGGTGGGTCCCTAGGATCTTCCGGAATTACAGCAGGTCTCCAGACTACAGAGATCCAGGGTGGTGTAATGATTAGCAGGTCCCACCAGGATCTCATAGACCCAGCTTAGAATATCCAGGACTCTTCCATGGATGCTTCCTGGGTGACCTTGGGCCAGTCACACCATCTCAGCCAAACCTACCTCACAGGGTTGTTGTGAGGATAAAACAGAGGAGGAAGAGTGAGGTAAGCAGCTTTGGGTTCCCATCAGGGTGAAATACAGGGCAGAAAAGTAAAATTTACCTCAGCTTTTTGCCATGGAAGCGACGGCTTCCTGTTTCTAACAGGAAATATATGACTACAGCAAACTACGGGGCTGCTGAGCAGTGTTCCCTCTAAGCTGAGTTAGTGTGAGCCAGCTCAGTTTCCTTGCCTCCGGCTCACACATTTTTGTCTTCGCTCAGGAAGGGATGGCTCCAGAGCAAGCGAATTAATGCAGCAGCCAAATCGCTCGCTCACAACTTTCATGCCCGTAGCTCAGAAAGTAGAATTTTTGCTCACAAGACTCCGCAGCTTAAAGGGAGCATTGCTGGCCAGCAGAGAATGCATTTCAGACCTGGAGAAAATATCCAAACGGCTACTAGACGTGGTGATTGAAGGAAACCTCCATGTTTGGAGGCAGTAAACCCCAGGAGGCAGCATCAAGGAAACCCCAGGAGGCAGCATCTATGCCTTCTTTGTTCAACTCTCAAGGGTAGTCGGTTGGCCGCTGTATGAAACAGGATGATGGACTAGATGCACTGATCCAGCACGCCTCCTCTGCTGTTCTTAGAAAAAAAGGCGACTGGTGGGGGTTTTTTTAGTTGCTGTAGACTTTCTGGGTTGTTTGGCTGTGGTATTGGCATTGTGGGTCCTGACGTACGGTTTCGCCAGTAGCTGTGACTGGTATCCTCAGAAGTAAAACACAGAAAGATGGGAGTGCTCTCTGTGTCAAGGTGAGAAGAAAAATGGTAGGCAGGTAGTTTATATCTACTCCGGAAGCTGGGGTAGGGCTGAATCATTATCTTTTAGGAGTTCCCCAGGCTATGAACATGCTAATGGAGGAGCTTTCCTGAGGAGGTTCTTTTGTATGTGGATTGTTTCCTGAGGAGGTTTCCTGTTTCCTGAGGAGGTCCTTTTGTATATGGATTGGCTGTTGAAATTCTAATCTCATCTGTAGTACTATTGTTTTTCAGGACAGGAAACCATACCCTATTTATTTTTAAACTCTCTTCTTTCCTGTTGAAATTGTGTTTATGTTTATGAATTTCAATGGCTTCCCTGTGTAATCTGACATGGTAATTGGAAGTGTTGTCCAGCCTTTCAGTGTCTTGCGCTTTCTGTTGGGGGTGGCAAAGGAGTCCTAAATTCACATCCTTGTTCTTCCAGACTTCTAGAGAGATATTCCCTGAACTTCAGAACAGGGAGAAGAGAAGAGATTCCCCCCCCCAAATTTGTCTTCATTAATTTTCTCAAATCATCTCAGGAAAAGACTACATCAGGGCATGGTCCGGGCCTGGCTTGGCTCCCACTGAGGCCTGCTCTGAACAGAACGTTATGAGGGAAAGTGCTTCTGGCGCCCAAATCCCCACTTGTCCCCTGGAAGGCGGCTGCAGCGTCTCCTGCCTGGCTTCTCTCCCCCAGCCTACCACCTTCTTCACAGTCAACTCGACTCTCATATTCTCCTCCACCAAGGTTGTGCCTACAACTTTCCACGAAACCCAGCCAATTCCACTCCCGGGGTGGTGAATCGGGAGGGCCTCAGGCAGGGGCTTTCCCCAGCCTCAAAAACTGAAGATTTCCCTTTTTAAACCCGCTTGGTCAAGTGCCATGGACCGAACCACGGACTTTCAAGACACAGTTCATAAACTCCACCGCTGATCAAGGGACTCTCCTTTGTCCTAGTCCAATCAACAATACCGTTCCTCCCATAAGCCTCACTCACTCAGACAAAGGACACCACATCAAATTAGAAAAGCCAAACAAGGAAAACTGAGATTCAAGGATTTCCTTGCAGCAACCTAACTGGCTATCGTCCCTCTCTCCCAATCAGAGCTGTTTTCAACAACAGGTTTCTTTTTGGAGCATGAAGGTATTTGATGCTTTCTTTCTCAGTGGCTTTAAGGTCCCCAAGTGTGAGAGCTCCTTTCTTTCCTTAAGGGCAAATGAAGGTGTGCCCTGAAATCAAAGAGGGTCAAAGGAAGACACCATCTTCTCTTCCATGATCGTGACAGACGGGAAAACCTCCTTACCCAGGGAGGCCACGGTCTCGTAATTTTCCTCCATAACATCCCAGAAGAGCTTTCTTTGGCCTGCGTCCAGTAGAGCCCATTCCTCCTCCGTGAAGGACACGGCTACGTCCTCAAAGGACACGGGGGATCTCTGAAAGAGGAAAATATGACCCAGTTGACCACTTATTCTTGTCCCTGACTATTCAAGAAAGAAAGAAGAATCTCACTGGCCGCTCAACTGATTAAAGAATGTAATAGGTCAAACTGATGACAAGGAAAATTGCATTTGTTTCACTTTTTCAGCCTCCGAGGTAGAATATACTAAAGCTCTCCAAGAAATATAAACGCAGACCATTGCAAAGAACTGGGCTTCTCTTGGTCGAGGCCAATTACATGTGTGTGGGAAAATAAACTGTTATCGCTGACGTTATACCACCTTGCATTTTAAACCAGCAAAACAAAACAGAAATGGTGCTTTGAGTGAAGATTCCTGCTTTAAACATTTTTGTTTGCCAAGGAGTTCTGTGTTATTTATTCATTTATTTATCTGATTTGCAAACCGCCCTCCCCCCAGTTAAAGGTAAAGGTTCCCTTGCTCGAAAGCCAGTCGAATTCGACTCTAGGGTTGCGGTGCTCATCTCCGTTTCAAAGCCGAAGAGCCAGCGCTGTCTGAAAACATTTCCGTGGTCATGTGGCCAGCATGACTAAACACCAAGGCGCACGGAACGCTGTTACCTTCCCACCAAAGTGGTACCTATTTATCTACTTGCAAGATGGGAGCTCACTCCATCATGCGGCACCCGGGCCTCGAACTGCTGAACTACTGACCTTCCACAGCCTGCAGTTCAGCGTCTTAACCACCTGAGCCATCGCAGCTCCTCCCCCATACCAGGAGAGGTGGTCCTGGTTACTCCAAAGCAGGGGTTTCAAACTTGTGGCCCGGGGGCCGTATCAGGCCCCCCGGAGGGCTTCTATCAGGCCCGCAGTGGAACTAGCTGTCTTTTGCTTCTTCTTCCAATTCTGCTGCTGCTGCATCATCGTAGGTTTGCAGCTTACAGATACACACCTGAACGGCATACTCAGGATTGCAACAGCACAGACATTTTGATGTAATAATTCAGAGCAAGAGGTGTCAGTGATCAGACACTGTTAAATAAAATATTGCAAGAGTGCTCATGTTTTAAGCAGTTTTTTTATTTTAAATAGAAAAAAAATCCCTTTGCGTTTGTGTCCTTTATAAAGTTTATATCTCCGCTACCTGACATGACATTTTATGACACATTTTATGAACAAGGTCTCATTTATGTCAGATTCAGCCCTTGTAACAAATGAGTTCGACACCCCTGCTCTAAAGCTTCCATCCAGGTCTGTAAACATGAACTGGCCTAATGAAAATCCAGGTGTCTTCTGTTCTGTTTCTAATCTAAGAAGGCAAAGGCCCATTCACCCCAGACCGTGTGATCCTTGGGGCTTGGTGGGAGACAGATGGAATCCATCACTCTCTAGAGCAGGGGTTCTTGAACTGTCTTCTGCCATGGACCTCTCTGGCTGCCTGGTGAAGCGTATGGACCACCCCTT